ACTCTTTCCTGCCTATGCAGGGGGTCGGACTCAATGATCTATTGAGGTCCCTTCCGACCCTAACATCTATGAATCTATGAATCTTTTCCCAATCTTTCCTGTGCAGTTGTTCAACTTGATATAACTATTTGTCAGTGAAGGGATATGGTCTTTCATTTCCTACATCCCAAGAGAGTACAATAACTTTTGAGATAACACCTATTCTGGACTGGGATGGCTCTCTCTCATTTACATAAAAAGAAAAGAACAATGACATTTCTCAGTTTCATCTCAGTGCAGAATCGGGACAAAGTGATCTTTGCGTGTCCAGCTTTTACACAGGTGCAATGCATCTATGTTCAGGAGTGGTGTTGCATAACTCTATTGATTCTCTTGATGATGGAGATAAACATTCTTTTTGTATCCTCAGGTATATTTTTGTTACTCTAAAAATGATACTCTGTATTTTTGGTTCCTGAAAGTGAAATAGGAAAAGCTTTTCATTTTTACCATTTTAATGTAGAATGAATATTCTTGAAATATTTTGTTGGATGCACCATGAAGGATATTCAAATCTGAGCCCTTCAGTCCAAACTGAGGCTTAAGTTAGCTTATTTCTAGCCTTACATTTGGTGGAAAAAACATCTGCAAAGCTTCCTTTCGCTCTCTTATCTGTCAGCTTGACTGATGACTATGCCCTAGTTTAATTCACCTCTTAATGAGCTGTCCATGACTACAAATCATTTTCACCTACCTGCTTCAGCTTTCTGCTGCTTTTCAATCTTCTCCAGTCTCCCTAACAAGGAATCAATTTTTGTTTTGATTTGGGTTAATTCCTTCTTGATTGTTTGCAACTCATCTGATTTCACTGGGAAGAAAGAACAGAAAGGTACAAAGCATGAAAGAAACTACATTTTCACCCACAAAATGTCTCTGAGCATTTTTTCTCTCTCTTTGGTAACTGTACTTCCAAGTATACCTGCTAATAACCACCAGACTCTTATTTCAAGGAGTATTTTGGGGAATAAGCACTTAAAATCAGTGATGTCAGGTACAAATGCTGAATACTAGTGGTGTGTTTCATACTAAATCTTGGTGACAGCAGGTTATATATGAGAGGCATTGCTCAGCAATACATGTTTGAGACAAAACATTTAAGGTCAAAGCAGATTCAGTCCTAGCAAGTGCAAATAACATTTAGTGACAATAAGCCTATAATGTGAGGCAGACTCAAATACTGGGAATGATTCAAACATGACAGGCAATATACAGTGTGTAATGCTCCTTTGCGGTGCTATTTTGTAATAATAATAATAAAACCCCCTTGGCTGCACTAGGTATTTTTCAGCAAGAGTGAATGGTAACAAATGCAGGGATGGCCTGGAACATAACATTATAGCCAAGACAACAACTTCATTGTAACAGATGTTAAGTATTATTGCTTTTTAAAGCTTACAATTCACAGTAATTTCATGTACCTTTTTTGCAGCTTTTTTATGATCACACCTTGGGCAAGGTGAGCCACTTCCAGTAAATTAAGATGTAGAAAGCAGTTTCAAAATTTTGTAGCATTTTGTTTTTAATGTGTGCGCCTCCTCACACTCCCTCCTCCCTGCTCTACTGGACAATTTGTGGTATTTTGGTTTCATCAGAAGAAGGAAGCAGTGGAGAGAGCACAGACTACCATGTCTTGCCCATTTTGAGACTCAGAAGAAGCTGCAAACTACATACCCAGCTGTCCCCTCTTGCAGGAGGAAATTTCAAGGGATCTTTGCAGTAATTTCATTTTTTAATTTCAGTATCTGGATCTTTGTGCCTCCTCTTGATCTCTGCAACATGGCTCTTAAGGAACTGCATGATTATAGCTTCTGCAGGCAATGAGGGAGTGGCAGCATGGACCAATAATTGAGTCACCAAGTCCTCCTACCCTTATCTCCATGGTAAGGTGACCTGCATCCCTCTTATTCTACTCCTTCCTCATGCGTGCATCTTAGACCAGTGATGAGCCCTTACTGGATTGAAGGAATATAGGGCAGATTGCAAAGTATCTCCCCCTGTGCATGATTTCCCCTTATGTGTAAAGTTTCCTCTTCATGACTGGATCCTGGGGGAGCAACAGGGCTCCTGTACTGTGGGTGCCTATTAATCCCAACCTTGGAGCCTTCTGAGCTTTCTCCAGTCAATATATTTGCAGCAGCCTTTAAACAAATGGACCCACCTGAACAGAATTGGAAGAGTTGCCTGGCAGAGAGACAGAGTTTGTCCCAGAGGGGACACTGCAGGCTCTGAGGGCAAGTGAAGCTGTTTGGGAGCAGCCCTGTTGGAAGTGGAAGGGGTGATGTAACCCCAGCACAGTTTGGAAGAGAGCCCTTAGCAAAAGCCTGGGAAGGGCCCTGAGCTGGGATTGGCTGAGAGGCTTGGATAAAAGGGGGAGCAGTTTTTCCCGTGGGGTGGGGGGCAAGAGAGAGAGAGAGGGGGTTGAGGGACAGGCTGGAGACCGGCTTGAGAGTCTCAGTGCAGTGGTCCCTCAGAGAGCCCCTGAGAGAGGCCTGCAGGAGCAGAGTGGAGAAGCTGCAGCGGCAGGAGCAGGCAGGGACTGCTGGTGTGGAGAACCCATGTCTGAAGAGACCTGACTGCAGCTGGTGTGGCTGGGTGAGCACAGCAGAGCCGGGGGGGACTGCTGGAGTCTGCCCTAGTTTCCCTGAGGGGTGAGGGGCCCCAGGGGCAGGCAAAGCCCAGGGAGGGGCTGCATTTGCTGGGGCTGTGAGGCTGTGTGGGGCAGCAGGAGGGTTGCTACAGCCTGTAGCCCAGACACTGCTCACAGCAGAACCAGGGAAGGGGGGCAAAGGCAGGGGAAGGCTGTCTTGCAGGAACTGCAGAGAAGCCGCTGCTTGTTGCCCGAAGACCCCAGGAGTACGGAGACGGACACCAGCGCCAGGGAGTGTCCACAGAACATGTGCAGGGACACAGACAATCCCGCTCCCTGAGATACCCCGCCAGGGGCAGAGCACACGGGATCCCCAGTACACCGTGTGCAAGTGAGAGACTGTGTAAATAAGTTCTTGAGGGTTTATTAGACAGTGTATCCATGTGATTATTTAATGGTTATTTGTTATGATGTAAATAATTGAATCTTGTAAATAGTTTCAAAACTGTCTGCAAGGGTGCTTGATTGTAAGGGGAGGCTCTCCACTCGGGGGCACTGCAGCAGCTTCCCAGGGGGGCTGGGCAGGGCTACCCCAGGATCCCATTATTCAGGTGAGGGTGCATGTAGTGTCGTGCCCAGGGTTACATATTGAATAGCGATAACAAGAGTAGCAAATCTCATATTGTTCTTAGGAGAGGCTTAAACCTCTGTTATCTCGCATTATTCTAAGTATGTTCAGCCTTGTTACTTAGCCAGATGAAAACTGAGGAGGCGCCCAAATCCCAGTCCTTCCCATTATTGCATAGTACCTATTACTTATATTCACAGAGCTGGGTCTTAAGTTTGTTCTCAAAGAAATAACAGGCCTCTGTCCAATGTTTACATTTTGTAACAAATTGTCAAAGTCATTAAAACTTGCATAAATATATTTAGAGTGACTTTTGCATTGCTTGAGGGAAGAGCCACATTTCTGTTAATGAATACAGAAGTTCCACAGATCCCTGATACAAGAGAAAAACAGGCCCAGTGTTCAGAGGCAGGGGAAGACAATGCATCAAAGTTCTGTGATTCAAACTGGTGTGTTAAAGTTGAGTCATCAATTGCCAATCCGTTCTTTGTGTTGCTAACCCCAACACAATATAGAAATATAGTCAAGATGGAGGAAGATCAGAGTATCAAATGGAAAGAATTGACCTTAAGAATTCCATTCCATTTCTATTACTTCCATTAAAAAGTACAAAATGGAAAGTGATGCACTTAGGGACCAATAAAAAATTCTGCTATAGAATGGGAGTTATATCACTTGGATATGATAGAAGAGGAGAAATAGCAGGAAATTGCAGAACGTCTATGACTTACCAATACAATGAAGCCATGAAAAAGGCAAAATCAATTCTATGATGTGTCGGGCATGTATTTTCATTAGAAATTGGGCAGCATTAATATCCTTATGCAGTCATTGCGGGGAACTTTTCTCATATACTGTAAACAATTCTAATCATACAGTTACGACAAGATGAATTCAAACTGGTGCAGAGAAGGGCTACTAGAGGGATCAGCAGGATGGAAAAGCCCTCTTATAAGAGGACTAAAAGAGCCTTCCCTTTGTTAGCTTAGGAAAGTGAAGATTCAAGAGGGATATGGTTTGTTTATAAATACATCATGGGAGCAAGCAGCAAGAAGGGAAAAAGAACAAACTAAAGAGAGAACAGCGTTGGTACAAGAATAAACTGGTATACATTATCCACAAATAAACCGAGGTTGGAGAGCAGAAGAATGGTTCTAACCATTAGAGAAATAAACTTCCACTTCTCAACTACTTCCAGTAGGAGCGGTGGAGGCAAAAACCCCAGCTAGTTTTAAGATGGAGCTTGATCAGTTTATGAAAGGTACTTGATGACCCTGGAGGTCCATTGTAGTCTTATGTTCCTTATGCAAACATTCTTAAAACAATTCTGCAGGAAGAAAAAGTGCTTTCGGGTGTTTATTTTTACTTATAAAAATGTGAAGCTAGAAATGGCAAGCTGCACTCAGCTCAAATCAGAGAATTAAGTTGTATGTAAATGACATTTTCAGAAATGGAAATGCTATTATAGAATTGCAGCAATACTTGGAACACATTTTCTGCTGCAAACTGATTATCTTGCAATGTATGATTCAGATTTCTTTGGATAAAATGTCATGTATTTTTTAATCTAAACACCTCCAGTTTAATACCTAACATTTTATCTTATTAGGGGTGCTTTAGCCTTCAGTTAAAAAATGTGTTAGCTGATGAAATTAAAAATAAGCTATAGTAATCAAAGTGAATCCATTAATTTAAAAGCACAGCTCAGTATAAATAAGCTTCTTTTAAATACCTCCTATCCATCCATGCACAAATGGAGTGGCATTTGATTCATGTTTCCTTCTTATTTGCAGTTTTATAAAAATACTTAAAGGGCTTCTGTTTCTATTTTTCTGCCAAAAAAAACGTTCTATTGATGCTAAATGGCAATCTCCATCTGCTGCTTCATACTGTTAACATGGAAACCCACCACTTACATGCTCAGTTCATTGTCCTAGTTTTTCCAGGAAGGGTGATTCTTCTAGTTTTTAGATTTAAAAAGGGGAAAAAACAAAAAAAAGTGCAAAATAATAATTATAATAACCCCTCCCCCCCCCCCCCCAATCAACAACCCATACATTTGCTCCCTGCATTTGGTTACCTGAATTTAAGTCAACTATCATCAGAAACAGAGCTATCTTGCTTTTTATGTATTAAAAAAGCAAGCTGGGAGGACATACTTCTAAGTTTTGCTAGAGCAAGAATTCACTGCATCAAAAAGCAGCTAAAAAGCACTATTTTTGCAGATACTCTTACTACTGAGAAAGATAGTGCTTTGTGGTAAGTTTTGGAATTTGTATTTATTGGTATTATCATCTGCATATAATGTCTCTGCTGCATGGCACAAATCGCACGTTTCTTTATGTGGTTCACTGATATTTCAAAGCAGCCCAAAACCTGACTTTATAATTCAAACCGCTTTAATTTTCAAAGGGAAATCTTTGGAATCCTGGCTTTAAATTTACCCTTCCTGTTGTGGTTTGGAGCTATTTTCCAGATTCACTTGGTCTGTGACTGGGATCTTGCAAGGACAACTGTTTTTGTGAGATTTCTGCCAAAGATTTTGAAATGTTTATATGGCAACCTGTTTCAGCCAAAATGCAATTATATCTTT